ACACATGTGTAGCCTCAAGCTCCAGCAACACCATATGTCTACTGCAAGATTTATCACTGAAAATGCATGCACGATAAAACAAAAGAAATTACATATTTGATGTTGAGGGCACTATCAATATATTAGTACCCCAAGATTCTTTTCCCTGACACATTGGTGATTTTGAATATTGTCAGTAGTGAGTAGTTTTGTATTGAATTATGTAACTATAAACTGTAATATTTGTTCAGATCTGTGATTTTTGATTTTATCCTTGGTACTTGTATCTAGCAGTAACATGTTCGTCAATAATTGTTATATTATTTCCTGATTTTGTTCATATTAGATGAGTTTTCCACTCAAATGGAGTATGTGGACTTATTGATAAATCCTGAACGCTATACAGGGTATAAAGGAGCTTCACCAAGACGAGTCTGGAATAGTATATACAATGAAAACTGCTTCAAGTGAGTATCCCCTCTGTAGTAGATCTTAATTCAGCTCAGGGATTTGAAATTTTTCATTAGAAATTGTATATCTAGAAATTAATTTTCCGTTCACTGCAAAATCTCATGTATTACGTGAAATGCATGGAATGAACATCTATGGCAAAACCGGTTTGATTTTGTTTTTCATTTTTTGACTCCCATGTGCGAAGCACAAAATGGGAGTCTTTGTGGTTTAGTGTGTCTGTATGCGTGTGTGTGTGTGTTCGTCTGTTCCACTGATATCTCAAGAACCGTACATCAGTTTTTGATGAAACTTGGTGCATAGATGCTCTGGGCCAATGCGCAGATTTGATTAGGTTTTGGTAAAATTCCATTCATATTAATTACCTAATTTGCATGATAATTAGCTGATTTTTAGCTGTTCCATGACTGTTCGACTGATATCTAAAGAACCACTCATTGGATTTTGATGAAACTTGGTATATAGATGCTCTGCGCTTGTGCGCAGATTTGATTAGTTTTTGGTAAAAATCCGTACATATTAATTACCTAATTTGCATGATAATTACCTAATTTTTAGTTGTTTTATGACTGTTCTACTGATATCTAAACAACCACTCATTGGATTTTGATGAAACTTGGTACATAGATGCTCTAAACTACCGTACTCGACCGCGTTAGCGCCCATGCCCGGGCAAGCACCCACCCCCCACTTTTGCGCAATTTTTTTATTTGGGGTCACATTCGGCAAAGCGCCCACCCCTTCAAAATGCAACTAATTTAAAACTTGGTCTTGCGTAACAAATTTTGGTAATTGTTTTTATATGATACAGCGTGGATATCGATCGCTGTGAACATGTTGTGAATGCGTAGAACATGGTAACCGTGCGTAAACTACGCTTCGACAATGACCTGTTAATACAAGTAAAATGCGATAAATATTTCATGCCATATTCAGTTTACCTCTCAAAAATGGCTAGTTACTAGTTTTTTGGAAAAACCATGTCGTTTATTCGCTGAAATCAATTCCAACAGATCGTACTTCGACATTGATTATTCACTTCCGCATTGCGTTACCGAAAAGTCTTCAGGAATTTCCGAAGAATTGCATCAGTACAACACAGCATTCTGATTGGTAAATAACCAACTTGACCCATTAGGTCAAAGGACGCTGCTGTAGGTCAAATCTGCAAATGCATCATGGCGGAAAGTGATTTTCATCGAGAGTTTGCGTACAATCCAACAACTTCGTCAGTGGAAATAATATGACAATTTTGACTTCGACTGTGTTTCAACAGACTCAAATGTTTTTAATTTCGTAAATTATGGTGGTACGTAATTAATATTGTAATAAAATGTGCGTATTTTTTGTGATCATTTCTGTTTCTTCATTGTGAAAATCAATGACGACGCAATTAATTTAGTAATTTGATTTGCACTCTTTTTTGAGGGGGGTGCTCGGGTAAGCGCCCACCCCTACAAAATCGTGATTTTCTGAGTTGAGGCTGAGTACGGTAATGCTAGGTTTTGATCAGTTTTTGGTAAGAATTACCTAATTACTAATTACCTAATTTGCATAATGATTAGTCAATTTTGGTTTTATCCACTGATATCTCAAGTACTAATCATCACATTTCAATGAAACTTGGTACATAGATGTCATAGGACACTGCACAGACCTGATAGTTTTTAGGGTAATATCAGTGCATATTAATTACCTAATTTGCATAATTAATTAATTTTCAGCTTTTGATGTTTCAAGTAGTAAGCATTACATTTCAATGAAACTTGGTACATAGATCCAGAGACCTGATTAGTTTTATGGTAAATAATTGTGCATATTAATGACCTAATTTGCATAATTAATACATTTTCAACGTTCACACTTATTTCTCAAGTATTAATCATCACATTTCAATGAAACTTTGTACATGGATGCTGTAGGACAATAGGCAGACCTGATAGTTTTTAGGGTAATATCAGTGCATATTAATTACCTAATTTGCATAATTAATTAATTGTCAGCTTTCACACTGATTTCTCAAGTACTGGATAATTGTGGGTTAAAATCTGTACATATTAATTAATAATTTGCATAATTAACCACTTTTAAGCTATCACACTGATATCTTAAGTACTGATTATTCCATTTCAATGAAACTTAGTACAAAGATGCTCTAGGACAATGTACAAACCTGATTAGTTTGGGGTTAAAATCTGTTTATATTAATTCCCTAATTAGCATAATAATTCATAATTGTTTTTGGTTCCAATCACATTTCAATAAAACTTTGTACATAGATGGTCTGTTACATTGCGCAGACCTCATTAGTTTTACATTCAAATCTGTTCATATTAATTTTCTGATTTGCATTATTAGTTTTCAGCTTTTCCATCACTATCTCAATCAAGTACAAGTAATTTCGAATTATTTTTAATGTGTCTCCAATACTCTCAGCACATGGGAGTTCTTTCTAAGCTTTCTTTGATTTTTTATAGCTGAATTTCTCAATCCTGAGCTTTAAATAATGCATTGAGATACCCTTACTTCATCAAAATTGACCATCATCTAATGCATATAGCATTGAAATACCCCAAAATACTTTTACGTTTGTTGAATCTCACTTCACTACGATACTATGACGTTTGTTTTTCCTGTTTTGACGTTCAATTTCACACATAACTCAGGATCTCATGTTGAATGGAAAATGGGCTATTAAGGATGTAGTAGACATAACAGTCACTATTTTATACATTTTTTGTTTATTGTCTATTTTGGTGGCATTTGTCTATCTGCATGCAATGGATGTGTTTTCCACTTAAAATAGTAACCAGTACACCCAAAAAAAGCATTTTTAACAAAAAAGTTAGGATATGTGTTTATAACAGCAGACCGCTCACTTTGATTTCAGGATTATCGGCTTTGAGCGTAAACAATAAATATTGACCTAATTTGCATAAGTTGGCCTACTTAGCAACGGAAACAACGCACGCACGCCCTGTGATCGTTCTATATTAGTCCACCGTGTGTGACACATCAAAAAATTAGCGCTCCTTAAAATTGTTATCAGAAATATTATTAGAGAAAGAAGAGACAAAAAAAAAAGAATATGACGCCAATGTCTGAAGAAGCAAAACTTCGTCTCAGAAAAAATAACATCGATCGCGGTTCGGAAAGTTCGGACTCCAACGACGGT